CTTCCATGTGGGCTTTGTTGCTTCTGAGCTAGATGGCTGCTTGTTTACCTTCAAGCCTTTAAGACCCCAGATGCTGTATCTTTTGATAGCAGGTACCACCAACTTTCTTTGCCCATCATTCTTTTAAAAACATTTTCTTTTTTACTTGAACCCTTGGTATCAGCTCATTTTTTTCCCTCCCTCCCCAACCTTCCCATCCTCATGAACCCTTGATAAATTATAAATTATTATTTTACATCGTCCACTGTCTCCCTTCACCCATGTTTCTGTTGTTCATCACCCTGGAGGGGGGGGCTGTCAGATGTTATACATCGATCATTGCAATCGGTTTCCCCTATCTCCCTCCACCTTCCCCCTACCCTCATGGTATCCCTACTCCCATTATTGTTTCTGAGCAGTTTTCTGTCTTGGATTCTGTGTGTGGAGAACTCTTATCTGTACCAGTGTGCATGCTCTGGTGTAGCTAGATTTGTAAGGTAGTACTGGGGTCATGATTGGGGGGGGGGGGGAAGCGGAGCATTAAAGAACTAGAGGGATATTGTAGTTTTGTCTGTGCTATACTGTATCTTGGCTGACTTGTCCCTTCCTTGTGATTTTTCTGTGAGGGGATGTCCAATTTTCTACAGATGAGCTTTGGGTCTCCACTCCCCCCCACCCCCATTTGCATCAATGTTATTATTTTGGGTCTTCTGATGCCTGATACCTGATCCTATCTACACCTCACAGCTTATAATCACACAAGCTGGTGTGCTTCCCAGCTAAATGGCCGCTTATTTATCTTCAAGCCTTTAAGATCCCAGATGCTATATCCCAGATGCTGTATCTTTTAGTAGCTGGGCTTATCAGCTTTCTTCACCACATTTGCTTATTGCTTATGCACCCATTTTGTCTTCAGCAATTGTGTCGGGAAGGTGAGCATCATGAAATACCCGGTGTATTAGTCTGGGTACTTTAGAGAAACAAATCCACAGAAACATGTGTAAGAGAGAGTTTTATATAAAGG